ACATAGGGCTGTGCATTGTGGTGGTAATAAAATAAAATATTCTTTAGTATATTACTTGAAATATATATATGATAGTAAAACTTGATATTTTATGTAATTAATTACAATAAATTGTATATTGCATGAATATCAATATTCTTTAGAAAGATGTTAATATAAATATGTACATTTTTTTTTTTGATAAAGAATATAAATATGTACATCTAATAAATTGGTGTGCCTATATTGTTAAGAAAATTTATATAGAAATTTTGAATATGGAAACTTGCTATAATTTTTTAGTGGAGTTAATCTTGTTAATTTGTTTTTAATGCACACATTATTTTTAAATCAAAAATTTTTCCTAAAATCACACACCACGAGAAGTGTGTGATCGGCTAGCCCATTTGCCTACCGCGTAAGGATCAGCATAGTAATATAGCTTGATTCTGTTTGCTAAAGCAGCAAAAGGAGAAGCCGGACCGCTCAAATTCTGCGGGATACAAAAAGTAGGATCATGGCGATTATCAAGCTTTACCAACACAGTACTGGCTACACTTTTGGGAAAGCGAAGCCAGTGAGAGGAGCTTCATCATCATCCATATATGGCAGCTACATCTTCCTTAATCCGTTGACTTCTTCTTGTCTCCGTCGTTCAGAATTTACTTACATTTCTCTCATTTGTTCTTGACTTGATTCAGCTCATTGGGAAAACTCCCTATGGTGTACTAACTTGAATAGTATAGCAAACATTCCTGCAGCTAAACTCGAGATCATGGAGCCATGTCAAGGATAGGTGTGTAGCTTTAGAGTTCATATGTTTTTAGTCGAACCTTTCAAGTCCGAAACTTTTTGTTTCGCGTATTTCAGGATTGGATACAGTATGGTTACTGATGATGCTGTGTTCTTTTCCGTATTACAATTTGTGACATGAATTGGTTTTAGCTCTAGCAAATGTACCAGAAGAGAAGAGAACTGAAAATTAACGTTTAAAGAAAATCAGAGACTCTCCTGCATTTACTTTTCCTTATTACAATTTGTGTAATGAACTGAGATGCTTACACTGTCCACTTATATTATACAAGCAAAGAGGCGAGTGCGTGATCCTGTTTCATATAGGTTCAATCTACCATATATTTAGTAGTATATTACTTTAATTAAATATACTACTAAATATTTACAATAGTAATTAAAATTAGTTTATTTGATTCGGAGAATAACTATTTTCTAGAATCCCAAAAAATCCAAAAACCGAAAATCCAACCGAATGATAATTTGATCACAATTTGGATCTATTTTTAGGATCCGAAAAATCTGAACAAAACCGAATACCCACTTCTACTAGAATGTGATCATGGAGTAGGTTCATTGTAAAGAAGATGAATCTAACTCTCACACATAAATTTTACAATTTGTAAGTAAATGAACGATAAGCTATGAAATTAATTGGTTATTACTTTTAAGACACCAACAACATAATGCAATACTTTTGAGCATTTGTTTCTTTCTTGTATTGTTTAGCACTTGAGTGGGAGAACAATGAGACTGAAGAAGAGATATTACACACAACTTCTCTCAATGGTAAGGGCCAAGTATCTAGTGCTTTCTGGTCCTATTGAACCAGAAAACAACTCTAATTTTAATATTCAGGTTTGCTTGTACAGAGAGGGATACAAATGTATAGCTAAAATGAAAAGAAGAGATGTGTCAGACATAAAACTAGAGATCTTCATGGTTAAAAATGATACAAGTCTGTCACTTGTTAGGCCATCCACCAGACAGCTTCATAAAACAGAATCTCTGGCCGAACCTTCCTATCCTCRCAGAATCTGACCACACTCTTCCAGTTACCAACATCCTATGGCATCACCACACATATCTCAGACTCAAACTCAAGAAAGTGACAAAGACAAACTAACAGTTACTGTCTTACTTACCTCTTCTGATGAAGCTTCATTTCCAAGACTGCACCACCGATCCGTTTTATAAGCTAGGCAAATGTAATCTTCTTCTTCTTTACCATARCCAACCTGCATCCCATATTCAGAGACTGTAACAGAGAAATAGAGAAGAGCAAACATTTGGTGACACTGTTTCAGATTATTACCATTGACACAAGCCGGTATTTGATGTTTGGTTTTAAGCCTTCGTATATCTTGCTGATATCTATCTCCCAGTCCAAAGCCTTTGTTGTTTCAGATACTTCCTCGTCAGTTTCATTCTTCACCCATTCCAACACTAACACAAAATACCAACATTGTTTCATCATATCACAATAAATGAAATGAGTACAATAAAATCACAATCATGGTCAAAACTCACTGATTGTGAAAATAGGCGAAATTGTACTTAAAATGCGATGAACAAAGTTTGCCTTTCCACAGTCACATAACATTTTATCTTCCAAGCGGATCAGCTTAAGAATGTCCTCGAACTTTCTATTCCCAAAAGTACACTGCATATATATTTAACCAAATAAACAGCTTAAGAGGTAGTACCAGTTTTATGTAGGAAAGTCAAAACAGACAAATAAATGAAACATACCTTCAGGTCTCTGATTGAATCKGCAGCCATAACCATGCCATAAGAACTTTGCTCTGGATAATTTGGCTYCTTCCCGCATTTGATACAACTCATTCTTTCATATTCTTTAAGAGTAAAAAGAYGAGTTACAACGCTTTCTATTTCTGGATTTTTCCAGCAAGGCCAAAACTCAAGGATGGATACGAGTAGCTCAGAAGCATTTCTTGACTGAAAAGAGTATAAAACCAGAATGACATTTACCAACAACAATCAAGAAAACTTAGAAGCGTATATTCATCTGCACAATCAAGAAACATACCTCTAGGGAAGCAAGTAAGCTTTCCACGAGGACTGTGTGGACTCCCTCTTCTTTTAACTCCTCCGAGACAAAAGCAATAAAGTAATTTTGAATCGCAAAAGGAACTTGTTCTTCAAGGTTGTCAGGAAACTGATCCCTATTTTCCACCAAATAGTCTTTAAGAGCCTTAATGTTACAAAGGGCCTGCAGTAGCACAATTTGTCAAATTAAATAAGTACAGACACAATACATGAAAATTAGGATTGAGCTGAAACAGTTTAAGCTTTTAAAATGTTATGTTACCTTCAGCGTCATCTCAAGAGCTGAATTGCATCTCGTTGCAGCTGCTCCATGTGGTGACTCCAAATGTTTCGACTGTGAATTTTCTCCAGGCACATCTGTCAATTGAGAAGCTTCCTCTTGATTGTCAGTGTTGGATGAAATYTCCAATTGACTTCTTTCACTTGAAACAGTATCTTCCAGTTCACTGGACCTGTAAGAAGACATTTTGCTCAGCGTAAACCCGAAAACAGTTTATTAACATGCAAAAAAGACTCTTCAGGTACTTACTGTTCAACAGTCTTATCAAGGGGACTAGATATGCTCTTTGAAGTTTTCTGTTGCACCATGAAGACCATTTCTTCATACAACTGAGTAAMAGAAAATTCAGCAAAGCAAATAGAGAATTTAGAATTTTAAAGACC